TGACAGAAGAATGCCAGACTTACAAGTTTAAAATTTTTCAGGGCCTTACACTTGTAAAATAAAAATGATACCAAAATAATAGAGTGCTTACTGTGAATGCTTTCCATGTATTAACTCATTTAATCTTCCCAACAGCTCTATGAAATCAGTACATTATTGTCCCATTTTGCAGAGGAAAAAGCTAAAGGCTAGAGGGTTTCTCTAACTTGCCCAAGATTTAGGTTACAAGTTAGTAGGTGGAGGAACTAGGTTGCAAAAGACAGGACATTGTCTCAGGTGGTTACTTGCTTAAAGTTCGAACTGTCCCTCTAGGACTAGATAGTGACTAAATGAAATGTATTCATACTGTAGGGAGAATTTAAAAAAATTAACTCTGGGCACTGTTTTCTTAGATACAACATCAAAAGCAGACAATAAAAGCAAAAATAGACCAATGGGACTACACCAAACTTAAAAATTCTTGTGCATAAAAGGACACAATCAAGAAAGTGAAACACAACCCACAGACTAGGGGGAAAAGTTGCAAATCATGTATCTGATAAGGAGTTAATGTCCAGATTTTATTTTTTAATTTATTTATTTTTTAAAAATATATTTTTATTGATTTTTTACAGAGAGGAAAGGAGAGAGCTAGAGAGCTAGAAATGTCGATGAGAGAGAAACACCAACCAGCTGCCTCTTGCACACCCCCTTCTGAGGATGTGCCCACAACCAACGTACATGCCCCTGACTGGAATCGAACCTGGGACCTTTCAGTCCGCAGACCGATGCTCTACCACTTTCGGCAATATCCAGATTTTATGAAGAAGTCCTACAACTAAAAAAATAGCCCAATTAAAAAATGGGCAAACATCTTGAGCAAACATCTTTCTAAAGATTATATACAAATGGCCAACAAGCACATCAAAATATGTTCAAAACCACTAATCATAAGATAAATGCAAATCAAAACCACCATGAGGTATCACTTCACACTGGTCAGGACGGTTACTATAAAACAACAATAAAAAACAAGTAAATAGAAAACAACAAGTGTTGATGAAGATGTGGAGAAAATGGAACTCCGGTGCCCTGTTGGTGGGAATATGTAAAATGGTGAAACTTCTGTGGAAAACAGTGCAACAGTCCCCCCAAAAGTAAAAATAGTACTTTCAATATAATCCAGCAATTCCCTTTCTGCATATATTCCCAAAAGAATTGAAAGCAGGACCACAAAGAGGTATCTGCACACCCATGCTCACAGTGGCATTATTCACAATAGCCAAAATATAAAAACCAATCTAGGTGTCTATTGACAAATAAGAGGATAATGAAAATGTGGCATACACACGCAATGGAATATTGTGCAACTTTTAAAAAGGAAATCCTACTACATGCTACGGCATAGATGAACCTGAAGGGCATCATGCTAAGTTAAATAAACCAGTTAAAAAAAGACATGCCCTTGTTTTGCTCAACTTCATTTTGTTATAAGGTTGATGAGATGCCATAGGAACTTAATTTTTTTTAAAGATTTTTCCCCCCTTTTTTTCCTTTCTTTTTTTTGTTTGTTTTGTTTTAGAGAGAAAGAGGGAGAGAAACATCAATGTGAGAGAGAAAAATTAATCAGCTGTCTCTCGGACATTTTCTAATTAGATCAAACCTGAAACTTGGCATGTGCCAAGGGAATGGAACCAGGAACCTTTAGGGGCCCTGGACTACATCCAACCACTGAGCCACAACAGCTAGGGCAGGAACTTAACTTTTGTTTATATTAATTAGCCTGTTGCAAATATGCTTTCATTATACATCCTTTTGGTTAAAATTGCAGAACATATGGGCTATATTAAGTGAAGAATTGATATATATAATTCCACTTGTATAAAGTACTTAAAGTGGTCACATTTCAAAAGAAAATAGAATGGGGGTTGCCAGAGGATGGTGGGTAGGGAAAATGGAAAGCTGTTTAACTGGTATAGTTTCAGTTCTGTAAGATGGAAAATTCTGGAGATTTGTTGCACCACAGGTGAAAATCGTTAACAGTGCTAAACTGCACACTGAAAAATGGTTAAAAAGGTAAATATTAAATGTTTTTTGCCAAATTAAAAAAATATATTAACTCTTTTCTTTCACTTCCCTTTCCCATCCTCTCTGTTATAGTATTCATAGTGATATAATGAAAGGGCAGAGAAAAACAAAGAATACAAATGCTTCAACAATGTAGAAACAAACTAAGAACTAAGAGAACTCCACATACTCATTATTAATTTTCTTCTTAACCTGGAAATACCTAAGTCTCCAGTGAAATATTATCCTACTAAAGGCCTGGTGCACGAAACTATGCATGGGTCCCTAGGCCTGGTGGGTGATCAGGACCGACCTGGGCCTTTGGGATGCCAGCTGGGGCCTTCCTTCATTCCACGCCGCTCCCTGGTGAACTCCCGTGGGGACAATTTACATATATCTACAGTATATATCTAGATACCTATATATCTATATATACACTAGTAATCCAGCACATGAAATTTGTGCAAATTAAAGGGGGATTAATTAGAGAAAATAATTTAATATTGCTATTTGCCCTTTCTCTATAAATGTCAGAGATTAAAGAAAATTAGTAAAATGTATATGAAAGCCTTTCTCCTATCAGAGTCTGGGGCACGCCACGGGACCCAGAGTCAAGTCCCTGCCCACCCACATGGAACTCAAAATCGCGTGAGACCCAGACCTGGTCTGTCCTCCCCCATCCTCCTCCCCCACCACCACCAATTGGGCTAGATCCAGACACAGCCAGTCCCACCCTTGTCAAGCCCTGCCGGGCAGGGGACATAGCCTCAGGTCCCAGGTCCCAGGTCCCCAGACCAGGGCGGTGAGCATGCCTTGAGGTCCTCTGTCAAGCACCACCAGGCAGGGTGGCACAGCCTCAGGTGCCCTGGCCCAGCACCGGGAGGGGGGCACTGCCTCAGGTCCCCTGACCCAGCACGGGGAGGGGGGCACAGCCTCAGGTCCCCCATCAAGCCCCATTGGGTGGGGGCGCAGCCGAGTTCCCCAGACCCAGCACTGGGGATGCACCTTAAGGTCCCCTGTTAAGCCCTGCCGGGTGGGGGGGGTCTCAGCCTGAAGTCTCCTATCAAGCTCCACCAGGTGAGTGGAGTGGCTGGAGGTCCCCCGCCCTGGTGCTGGGACAGGGAGAGCAACCTGAGGACCTTAGCCCAGCACTAGGGCAGGAATTGCACCTTGAGGTCCCCTGGGGGCACGGCCTGAGATCTCCTGTCAAGCCCCGTGGGGGCGGGAGAGAGCATAGCCTCAGATCCCTGCTGATTGCTTGTTAAAGCTCCTTATGGGAACTTGGCCTCCATCTTTGTGATGGAGTCATGGTCAATTAGCATATTCCCTCTTTATTAGATAGGCCTAAGGGCCCAGTGCAGGAAATTTGTGCCCGGGGGTGGGGTCTCTCAACCCAGCCTGGACCCTCTCCAATCTGAGACTCCTCATAGGATGTCCAATTGCCTGTTTCGGCCTGATCCCTGGGACATCCCTCTCACAATCTGGACCCACTGGCTCCTATCTGCTCACCTGCCTGCATGCCTGATCACCTCTAACTGCCCCCCCACCCGTACCCCTGCTAGCCTGATCACCCCTAACCACTTCTGTCTGCCAACCTGATTGTCCCTAACTGCCTGCCTCCCTACTGGCCTGGTTGCCCCCAACTGCCCCCCATGCCACCTTGGTCACCCCTAACTGGCCCCTTGCCAGCCTGGTCAACCCTCACTGCCCCCCCCCCCTTGCAGGCTTGGTCAGCCCTAATTGCGCCCCCACCAGCCTGGTTGCCCACAACTGCTGCCCCGCTCTCCCCTAACTGCCCCCCGTCTCTCGCCCCTTCCCCCACGCCCCCGCCCGCCCGCCACCCTAGTCGCCTCTCACTGCTCCCCTCTGCCCTACTGGTCACCCCTCACAATCTTCCCCTCCCCACAAGGCCAGCCTGGTGGCCCCCAACAGCCTGCTGTTCGGTTGTTACTGTGAGGGCATTGTGACCAATTTGCATGTTAACCTTTTATTAGTATAGATTGCAAGGCACTATAGCGTAGTGGTTAAAGGCCTTTTGGAGCTAGAAAGCCCAAGTAGTATTCTGACTTTGCTACTAATTACTATGTAGCCTTGTAGATATTCTCATTCATTCATTTGTTCATTCACCCATCCACCCATCCATCCATCAAAAAGATAGTCTGTTTCCATATGGGTAAACCTGTTCAAATGAATCCTATACCTCTACGTAGGCTTGTTCTGAGGAGTAAATGAAGTAATTCATACAAAACACTAGGCACATGGGCTGGCACTTTGTAAGTGCTCAATAAACATCGCTATTATTAGCACTGCAAAGTCATGAACAGGGTGAATTCATCTAAGAGTCCAGTACTCTGTTCCTTAGCGATCTGCCTAATTTGTGGCTAATTATGGTGTCAGCAAATCAAACACTATGTTGCAAATCATTACTGACACTTTAGCGTTCTTGTCAAATTTGTGCTCCTCTCTCCTAAAGCAACTCCCTCCCAGGGAAAAGCAATGTCATCTCAGGTGTTAGAAAACGTTTGCTTTGGGAACAATGTTTAGCCAGAGATGCTGGAACCTGAGACTTGAGGTCCCAGCTCCTGGCACTTCACTGGGGGTCCAGGCGTCCTTTGGGGGAAGGGTGGGGAGGGAGAGGGGGCCGCACACCCCGCCTGGAAATAAAGCCCACTCTGGGGAGGCTAGGTGGGCACCTGACCAGTCTCCCAGGGACATTCTCCTGGTGGAATGGAACCCGCAGCTCTCGCCTGTCAGCTGCCAGCGGGCACCTCGCAGGCCATCCAGGCCAGTGCCCAGCGGGCAGGTTGGCCGGGCGGCAGGGTGTCGGGAAGCTCCTCCCGGTGTCCCCGGGGGGTTGAGCGGACGCGGGGCCGGTGGGGCAGGGCAGGCCGGGGTCGGGCCTCCGGGAGCGGAGGGGAGCAGAGGGTAAGGGGGGAGGGACGCCGCGGGCTCACCGCGGGCCGAGGGCAGCGGGTACAGCTTCTGGGCCTTCTGCAGGAAGCGCTGGGCCTTCTCGCGGTCGCCGGCGTTCAGCGCCTCCCGGGCGATGTCCACACATTTCTCCGCCTCGTCCCGGTTCCCCTCCATGGCTGGCGGCGCGTCTTCCGTTTCCTCCGGAGCGCGGACCGGGCGGAAGCCGCCGCGGCGGCCGAGGAGGCGAGCCGGCGGGTGGGGGCGTGCGGGGCGGGGCGGAGCGGAGCGCGGCGGGCGCACCGGCGCGCGGCCCCGCCTCCTCCGGCGGCTCCCCGGCCCCCGCCCCCGCGGGCCGCCAGGCGCGAGCCCGTCTGCCAGCGCCGGCCCCGGGCGCCCGAGCCCCCGCGGCGTCTGCGCGCGGCGCCCACCGGCTCCGGGCCGGCTCCCCGAGGGGCGGAGGGGCCGCCGGGGCTGGGACGGCGCCGCAGGGGCCGCGCTGCGCGCCCGCCCTCCCCCGCCGGCCGCAGCCCGCTGTCTGGGCGGCCGGGGGGAACGGAGGACGGGCGGTGGGGATGGTTTTCAGAAAATTCCCAGAGGCCGGGCCCCGCCTCCGGCCGCAGCCCGGGAGGGCGCGGTCAGGTGACACCGGCTGTCAGGCCTGACGCAGCGCTTCCGGAGCAGGTGGAGAGCACACAGCAGGTTGGAACCTAACTGCGGGGCTGGTTTTACCTGCCTTATTTCAGGACAGACCATTCCCCCTGACCCAGATCCCATTGAATTGTCTGATAGGATGCCAGTGAGGTTCAAAGCCAACTGTGTGCAATGATTCTGGTCTTATCCCGAATTTTTTTATGCCCCAAACAGAAGGAAACCGCTTTGTGGGAATGTAGTACTGTCACTGAAGAAACGTACCATTGCCAGGGAATGTTGTTCTCCTGGGGGAGGGGCCAACTTATTATTTGGAAGTCATAACCCAAATTTTAAAAGGTTGAGACAACTTGCCAGAAACAAAAGGTCAAAACAACCGACTCAGCTCGATCACAAAATAACCATTTTTACAATGTTCACTCAAGCTATTGTTACCCTTGTTGGAAATGCCAGAATTCGGACAAGCCCCAATTCCCTCTGTAAAATGTAATAGTATTCCCGAAAGATGTTACCAAGTATCGAATAATTCAGCTTCCTATATTGTGCAGCACAGAAAACATCTGAGGCCGGAATTGAAAGTTCCTTTTGTGAAGGTAGCCAAATACAGGATTTGCCTACTTGCCCCCTTACCTTCCCCCCACCCCCAGTCCACCACAGCAATCCTGCACCAGGGCAGTGCTGTCAGATACAGCAAGGTTGGCCAATATGCAGACTGAGATGAACAAAGAGCCTAAAAAACTTGTCCCGTTCCAGTTCCTGCCAAAGTTTTTAAATCTTTAATAGCTAATTACACAATTTACAGTTTGGCCTGCTGTTTACATAGAAAATTAAGTTGAATTTCTGGCGAAGATATACCGGTATGCTTAGGTTACTGATGGATGAATACCTATTCAAAAGGAAGGCGATTGATTCTATTACAATGACGCACATTTAAAAAACACAACTTGTTTGGGATATGACCTTTATTGAGCTTATCCACCGGAGTGGAAATAATGTCTGTACAAAACCAAATGTTTGTTACTATAACTTCTGCATCACAATTAAAATCCAAACAGTTTTTTAAAAACAGTCAACTCAATCAGAACCCACTACTTCAGAATCAATAGCTTCTTTGAAGCCACAGTAACACTTAAATATGGTTAAGACTCGAATGCAGAAATTTGGTTGGTTGGAAAGCTAATTAAACTTCCAACTTGCTCAAATAGAATTACAAAAAGGCAAAATTGTGTTTTTCACAGAGATACAGTCCACTGGAATCACCAACACTGGACAGCTGTTCAGAGTACTTAAGAGTCCTGAGATAATATGAAATCCAGGCAGCCTTTAGACAGTCTTCTGTTGTCCTTTCTTCCCAATCAGAGATTTGTGGATGTGTGGAATAACACCTAGGAGGGACAGGGATTAATTCTAGTTTTTAATACACATTTAGAAAATCGCACTATACTTAAACCAGAAGAGTTGTTAAACTTGGCAGATGTCTTTCAAAGTGACAGGTCAAGTATGCAAAGTAAAAACTCATTAAGTTATTCCCTACATCGATATCCATGATGGAACCATACTGTACCATCAGTGAAATTTTGCTCAGGGGTCCTCTTTTAGATTAGAAATTACTAATGGGTATTTTTAAAAAGCGAAGAATTATTTTCCCTAAAGGAATTTGAAGTAAAAAATCTTAGTATTCACATACCACCACCAGCAATTGTAGCCTTGATGAGAGAATCCAATTCTTCATCTCCACGAATAGCAAGTTGCAAATGACGAGGGGTAATACGCTTTACCTTTAAGTCTTTTGATGCATTTCCTGCCAATTCAAGTACCTACAAGGCAAAGATTTTCATCAATTTTCTCCCAATGGTTCTTTAAGGCCAAGATCCAGAGCAGAACACACCTTCACGAACATATACATCTAGCAATTGTCTCCCTCCTCTCCCCATCACTACCTGAGTGTCAAAATGGCCTGAGCTATAAAGGGGGCACGCAATTTTATTTCCAAGAGCAGCTCCAGCTCAGTAGGATCCCTTCATGACCACCAGCTCCCTCTAGCGATAGCAGAGGCTCCTCGCAGCCTTTAGGGCCTGGGAGTTTTCTTGCATCACTTTCCTCCTTCCCTCTCGCCACCTACCGCTCCCCCCCACCCCCCCCATTCCCAGATTATAGGCGTGCACCCACAGTTACCTCTGCGGTGAGGTACTCCAGAATGGCTGCGCTGTACACGGCAGCGGTGGCGCCTACACGTCCATGACTGGTCGTCCTAGATTTCAGGTGCCGATGAATACGGCCCACTGGAAACTTAACATTTTCAAGCAAAAACAAATGCACAAGAAATATGAATCAAAGATGCTAAAAAAAAAAATTAAAAAAATCAAACGCGCGCCAAAGCAAGGAGCAAGGACGCTGGTGCAGCAACGGGGTCCGTCTCCCGGCCCCCCCCCCCCCGCTCCGTATCGACACACGTGATCGCCCCCCCTCCCCCGCCGCCCCGATATTTATCCAATCCGCAAAACAAGTCGCAACACCGCATCACCCACGCACAGACACGACACGCTCATCCAGAAGCAATGATGCGCAAGAAAAAGGATCGGGAGACGCCACGATCCCCCCTCCAGGCTGCAACCGAGCCGCCACTGACCTGCAAGCCGGCTCTCTGCGAGCGGGAAACCGCCTTTGTCTTGGCCTTTCCGGAGTCCTTCCCAGCCTTACCGCCAGCCTACGGCGCGCACACGCCCGCCAGCGAGGGAAGGGGGAACGGAGAATATAGGATTACCGGGGCGGCGCGCCCCTCCCCCACCGCGGCGCGGCCCGCTCCATCCGGCGCCCCCCCCCCCCCCCCCCCCCCGCGCGCGCCCCGCCGCCGGGGTCTCCGGCCGCCGCGCGCCGCCGGGGCGATCCCGCCCGCACGCCCCCCGCTGCGCGCCCGCCGCGGCCGCGCGCCCCCGCCCGCCCGTTCGCGCCCGCGGCTCCCCGGCGGCGCCGCGCGCGCCACTCAACCGTCGCCGCCCGCCGCGGGATCGGAGGCGGCCGGCTCGCCCCCGGCACCATCGCCTGCCCCCCGGGCTCCCCCAAATACTGTCTCCGCGCGTCCCCAACCGCCGCCGCTTCACCCCCAGCTCCGTGTGTTCCCCTCTCCTCCGGTGTAAAAAAATAAACAACAACAACAAAAAAAAAACCCGCGGAGCCTCCGAGCGCCCCCGCGAAGTTTACCATTTCGAATCCTGCCGAAGCCCGAGCGAGCGAGGCAGAGAAAGGAGCAGTCAGACGCCCGGCGCGATCCCGCCGCCTACTCCCTCGCACCGCGATTCAAACTGCGCCGTCTCCCGCCTTCCCCGCTCCCTTTATACCGCAGAATGTTCCCTCATCCGGGCACTCGGATCGCTCATCCCACCAATGGCTGCCTCTCGCCCTCGGGACGCGTCCTTGAGGCTCCAGCCAATGAGCAGGCGCCGGGGCGGGTGGCGGGGCGGGCGCTCGGCAGCTCGGGCCGCTATTGGGGCGCGGGGAGAGGAGGGGGGAGACGGGAGGGATGGGAACCGGGGAGAAGAAGGGCCAGGCGGCGGGAGGCAGAAACAGAGCGAGCTGCTGCTCTGCGCGATCGAGGGCAGCCTGCGATGGCGGTCACGTGTTTGGGAGGAGGAGCGCAGAGGCTTTGGTGAGGAGCACCGCAGCAGCGCCCCCTGGTTGCCTAGCCGGGTTCTGGCCGCTGCGTGAAGTTGCCTCCGGGTCTAAGGCGCCCTCCTTCCTGTTCCCCCCCACACGCCCCCCCTTCCCCCCCAGCGCTTCGCCGGCGGAGACCCGCTGGCCTACATCCTTCTTCCGGGGCACCCGCCTCCCCACCCCGCTATCTATTATCCATCCCTGAGGTTCGTTTGACAGATAGCGCTAATGCGTCCCGCCAACCACAGCCCCTGAGAAGATTTTGCATTTCTTTACCGCGGCGACTGATGAGGACCCTGCACCCCCACTTCCTTTGCAGCGGTGTCTCCCACCTCTTCCCTTCTCACCACTTTGGAAACTCCCCACGGGATCACTGCACGGGGACAAATGGTGCAGCAAAGCAGCCTCGCTGGATACAAGAGACCTTTTGGTCTGTGCACACAGAGGGCTTGGAGTGAGGTGCTATTCTTTTCTTTAATCAAGTCATAAACTATATTTACCTGGAGACTGCACATCAGTGGGTTGCACCTATAATCTGGTGTCTCCAGTTGATTTAGTGATGCCTTAAAGCTATTACGTGTCCATTTTCCTATACGACACATTTTGCTACAGGACAAATGTTACATAAATGTCATTGGATAACTCCTAACATGACTCACAGGCAGTTACAGATGGTCTGTGTAAACAACTGAAAACGGTGGGTTTAAAACATTGTATTGTATGCATAATACTATCATAATGCCTGTTACTTAGTCTTCCAACTGATATGTTAATACTACCCGTGGATACCCCCAGCTGCTTGGAGATAGTAGTGATCTAATCTTTCACATTTGTAGTGCTTAATAGTGTATAAGTGTATTACACTTATACATATTTCTGACATGAAGAAACTTTATGGAAAATTACTCTTTTACATATTTCTGACATGAAGAAACTTTATGGAAAAGTACTCTTTCATTTTTTAAAAT